GAGCATCTGGATGGGCTGATTCATACTTTTAAGGGGTGTCTGGGTGCGTTGAACTGAGTGGTCTGTTAAAGCAACAGCTGTACGAGTTAAAGATGATTAGGCTTTCGGTGTGTATTTTTTAACTTTAGACAGATTACTAGCAGCATCTAGTGGCAGTTTTTGTAACAAAAAGAGATATGACTTTTATGTTACCAGAAAATTACTGGGAATTTGAGCATGGTAATTTCATATTATTACTTGATAAAACGTAACCAGTCACAAGTTTATTTATAAAATTTAAGAAAAACACTACATCAATATTTATATAAAAACACTTGTACATTCAAAGGAATAAAAAAAAGTTCTGTCCTCAAATAACAATAAATAATCACAAAACCTTAAAAAGTTGCTGTGTAACTCCATAGATAATTATAGCGAACAGAACTTATGAGTCACTAGTTAGGACCTCGCGAAACGGACAAATTGACTGAAGCTTTTCCACCCAGACTTTAATATGTTACCTAGTAAGCTATGTATTAATTATTAACAGCGTATGTAGGAAAGGTTCAGTTATGCTGTGTTTAATTCCCTTTTTTTTGGTACTTCTTTTGGCGACAGTCACGTGACAATGCGTGTATTTGAAACCGAACGTCACAGAAGCTCGGATAGGGATCGCTTGATGGCTCTCGTTAATCTAATGTTATATTCATGAAATTCCCCCAATATTTCTACAATTAGAAAAAGAGTAATTGGGGAATTGAACAAATGCAAAATAAATAGATAAACAGGATAAGCTGGAACTTAGTTCTGTGAAATTCGACCTATCATCAAAAATCCCAAACATAAAGACCAGGTCATTAATAGTTTATGTGTGTGATGGTTCATTAAACTAAACTATAATTATTTTAACAACACACCCGTGGGTAACAATGAGTCTGTCCGAACTGAAATTGAGTATGACTCGCTGATACAGACATCCAGTTGGTGTAATACTCCCAGAGGGAGAAACTGACGAACTCTGAAAGAATAATGTTTATTGTTTACAGAAGTGACGAGAGATGTATGCTAGACGTCCCTACTTTTATTGAAATCTACTCAGCCGAAGAAATGAGTCACGCTAGAACAATGGAAACTACCCTACGGAACTACGCAGTAGTTACTTTACATATACAAGTGTGATGTTTACACAGTACTTACTTTACGTATACAGGTGTGATGGTTACACAGTACTTACTTTACATATACAGGTGTGATGGTTACACAGTACTTACTTTACATATACAGGTGTGATGGTTACACAGTACTTACTTTACATATAAAGGTGTGATGGTTACACAGTACTTACTTTACATATACAGGTGGGATGGTTACACAGTACTTACTTTACATATACAGGTGTGATGTTTACACAGTACTTACTTTACACATACAGGTGTGATGGTTACACAGTACTTACTTTACATATACAGGTGTGATGGTTACACAGTACTTACTTTACACATACAGGTGTGATGTTTACACAGTACTTACTTTACACATACATGTGTGATGGTTACACAGTACATGCTCTACATATACAGGTGTGATGGTTACACAGTACATGATCTACATATACTGTGATGGTTACACAGTACATGATCTACATATACTGTGATGGTACTTACTTTACATACACAGGTGTGATGGTTACACAGTACTTACTTTACATGGCTAAACAGTTCTGTAAACAAAAATCAACTTGCACATTACGTTACAGAGAGTAGTTCTGTAAACATAAATCAACATGTACACCACCTTACCAAGAGTAGTTCTGTAAACATAAATCAACATATACACCACGTTACCGAGAGTAGTTCTGTAAACATAAATCAACATGTACACCACCTTACCGAGAGTAGTTCTGTAAACATAAATCAACATGTATACCACGTTACAGAGAGCAGTTCTGTAAACTTAAATCAACATGTACACCACCTTACAGAGAGTAGTTCTGTAAACATAAATCAACATGTACACCACCTTACAGAGAATTGTTCTGTAAACATAAATCAACATGTATATCACGTTACAGAGAGTAGTTCTGTAAACATAAATCAACATGTACACCACCTTACCGAAAATAGTTCTTTAAACATAAATCAACATGTATACCACGTTACCGAGAGTAGTTCTGTAAACATAAATCAACATGTATACCACCTTACCGAGAGTAGTTCTGTAAACATAAATCAACATGTACACCACCTTACCGAAAATAGTTCTTTAAACAGTAATCAGGATGTACAACACTAATATTTTGTAAACAAATTTCTTAAGTTACTAATATTTTGTAAAATTACGGTGTTTTGTGAAACTGTAATTCTGCCTTTTCTTGGTAGTGAAGAAAAATACTAGCAACTTTTTGTTCAATATAGGAAGCTTATTTTTCTTATGTAATTAGGCTTGTTTCCAGATGACGAGGAACCCACTTTGAGACTAATAATGCTTGGAGACGGCTTGAATGGGTAATGAAGAAAAACTTTAATATAAGTTTAACATAACAGCAAATGTACAACACCTGATGATGACAAAACCCTGTCGAAACGTTGTACATTTTCTGTTGTGTTAAACTTGTATTAAAG